TTAGTAATGCTTCTTTAAACCACACAAAACTTGTCACCTAGACATCTGATTACGGTAATATTGATAAATATAGAAAAAATAAATAAATAAAAATGATACTTTAGAATGCTCGGGTTTATATTCTAAATTCAGCAGTGCATAACGAGCAGCTGAGAGCTTAAGACCGCGTAGACCATCGCCCCATTCTTTTTTGGCACCGGCATATTCAATATACTAGAATAGTAGAAGCAACAGTTACTTAGAGGTAATTAAAGTGGAAATAACTTATCACTAATATTTTTTTTTGCCACTGCAATCTTTTTCAGACTAATTAAAAAAATTCGTTAATTTCATTATTTTTTTTGCGAAGTATGATAAAATTAAAATTATTTTTTGACTATCTTATTTGATAATACTAAAAAATAGCAGACTATTTTACTGACGTCTGGAAGAAATTTTTTCGAAAAAATTTTTCCAATCTTTAAACTTAAAAGCTATGCGAGCAAATATTATACTTCATATACTGCAACTCCAATAAAGATGGCAATTAAAGCAAAATGCCATGCTGATATAAACATCACTGCAATGCACAGAAATGAGCCCAGAAGCGATAACGACCAATGAAAATACCGAAACGATGGCCTCCATCCGGGAGTCTTCAGAATACTTTGTAGAGCACAAGCTGCATTAACACCCAAGTAGCACATCAAGAAAAACCTGAAAAATTTTATAGAGGATTTAGCAGAAAATTGCTGTTTGCTGTTAGGGTTACGTTTATATAGTTTCTGAATTAAAAACATAAGTTTAATATTATTGAATTTATTTACTGTGTGATAAGTGCAGTAATATTTTCAATAACCGCAATAAGAATTCCTAGTTCGCATATTAAAAGCGTTAAAAATATTGCTTTTATCGGTTCTCCACGTGAATCTGTTTGCCGAAACGGTGACAGAAATGGTATTAAGTCATCGTCAGCAATAGCTTGCAGCAGACGTGGAGCACCAGTTAATGACTGCATTCCGGCACCTACGGTAGACAAAAAACATCCTATCTAAAACATGTAACAAAAAATATATTACTGTCACTAATTAACAAAAGCAAAACTTTGGTTTACAACAAACAAGAAAAAAAGTATACGCATTTAAAAAGCAAAGTGAAGAATTTTTTTCAGATTTGCTTTATAACTCTAACCAATATAACTGTTGGATGAGGTACAGCCAACTGTGAAATCACCAATTTTCCCATTGCTGACTGTCCAAATTTGTCACGAATAAACATCTCAGAAACTGAAGCTCCAAACAAAAGAACACCGGTAAGGTCTTAAACAATTTATATATTTTGACTGACACTAAACTGTAAAAAAGTTGAATTATACAAAGTTAAACAGTGATGAATATACACTAAATACAGAAAAGATTTATATTTAGCCAACTAGTCCTATTGTAAAGCAATGTAGTATAATTTCAGAAGAAAACAAAAAATATTACAGACAATCGAAGTAGATATCTGAGCTGCCAAAGTACCAACTGGTATCGAACGTGAAGCATCTTTAAGATTACCAGAACGATTTGATCCGGCCATAATACCTATCCAAACAACAATGATTAGTCTAAGAAAAGTTTTAACTTCAACAAACAGTACTGCATCAGATTGAAACAAATTTTCCTTGCTTTCATCTGAACCTTAACGAGTACCTGTTACAGAAGGAAAAAATACACCAATTAGGATCATAAAAGATGTCGTTTGTTCCGCAAATATATAAAACCCCTGAGAATGTGCACGATCTGTTTTTTTGCTCGGTGCTTTCTCCTTAAAATCACAAAAACTCATTTGATGTTTGAAAGATGTCAACAAACTTCAACTTCAAGACAAGTTGATTACCTTGGACAGAAGATCTCCAACTCTTTGGTATTTGCTCCACAGATTTTCGACAAAAACTCCACTAGACAGGCCTGGTATAGCAATCTAAAGGTAGGAGTTTACAAGAGCTATTTTCAAAAGAAATTAATAAAAGGAAAAAACTGTAACTCGTTACTTATAGTAAACAAAAAGTAAAAACTCTCAGCGAAAATTATAGACAACCGATTAAGACTAAATTCAAAATAACAACTGCAACTTACTCGTTCTCCTATTGCTGGCTGTTTACCCTTCCAGCGTTTGATACTTTTTGTGATACGTGAAAAATATTCTTCACAATGGAGTTCTGAGGATTGATTTTGTTGTGAACAAAATACTTGAGTTAACCCCTCTACCGTACAGTTTGGAGTATGGTGGTATTGTTGTGAGAATGTCACCAAGTCCACTGGTCTATCGCCAACCATACAAAACCTTTAATTTGCTAGTCACATTGCCATTAATGACAATGCTGCATTTTGCAACTTGCTTGTCGTTGTAAGACAAAAACTTTTAGCAAGGTAAAAAAAATAAAATTTTACTTGAGAGATTCTGTTCCATTGAACTTCAGAAAGACACCAATAAATGTGCAAAGAATACACATTAAAACCACACAAACCGCTGGTAAAGCAAATTTATTCACGACCTTAAAAACAGAGTCTTTGTAATATTCCTTTATAAAAAGAAAAGTTTTACTGTTTCTAAGTGTTTTGAAACAGACAGTGGTTCATAGAACTCATTGGGCCCGTTTTTCTTGTTATAAAACCGTTTTTTCTCTTCCCAACACCATGCAAAGAATCTTTGTAGTAATAATGGCACAAAAATTGAAAGCTTTTATTCTTCATATTTTTCAGAATTCTGGATTTCTCCGTTTTTTTTTTTGCTACAGCCTGCACTGTTTTCAAAGTATTATTTTGGTTTTGTGCACTTGAGCAAAAGATGCTTTTGAAGTGCTTTCCACTCGGCTTATTTAGTTGTCACTTAAGTAAGCTACAACGATCAGAGCAGATACATATTTATAGCTGATAATGGGATGTGAAAGTCAAAAAGCTTTTAGAAA